TCTCCATTCGATATGTCTATACAGAATGGTCACATTGAATATTGAAAGCACTAAAAACAAATTAACCTAAAAGATTGAATGGGAAAATGAAAAAACAATAAGATGATGGTGAATAGAGAAGAAGAAGAAAGAGAATTATCCCAAAAAAAAAGATTAATGATTCAGAAAATACTCATGGGTGGTATTTGATAATAGAAATCATTGAAAATGGAAAATGGAATATTCTGTATGACTGTATAAATCAAGGTAATATCATATGAAAATGATTTCATATTGTCAATATGAATCATAAGAAAGAGAAATATTTGTAATAGAATTCATATAAAGATGGAATTCAGTTATTCATTTATTCAATGATGCAAGATTCCTTTTTGCAAAAAGATTCTGATCATCATCATCTTATAATAGACTTATTTGATTAGAATGGAATTATACTAAACAAAAAAAAAAAGTATATTTTTGTTTATGATGATAATGATAATAATAGGGATCAATTTTTTTTTTGAAATTGAATTTCATCAATATGAAAAAAAAGAATAAGTAATCATAATCAATGTATTGAATCATTGAAATTCAATTGATTTTATTTTCTCGTTTGACAAACTCAATAGGCAAAAGAAAAATGAGCCATCCAAAAAAATGATGATGATGATTAGAATTTGATGAAAATTCTTTCATTCTTCTGGTCATCCAAAATTATCAATTTATTTTCTGTGTACCACATTTATCGATGGTGTTAATGCAGAAAAAGAAAGGCAAGTAGATTACTTTGAACATATTATAAATAGAGAAAAACAAAACAAAACAAAAACAGAAAAATTCCTTTTATAAACCAAAATGGTTATCAAACGAACCGTTACATTCAGAAAATAATAATAATAATAATGATGACACTATCATCATCATCATAATCATAATCAAACAAACAAACGAAAAAACATTCAATATTATTATTAGTAGCCAAAATTCCAAAGAATCATATTATTGAAAATAATGATAATAACTAATACAATAGGTTTTTTGTTTTGTTTCTCTGTATACCACCACTACCAAACTAAAGACAATGTATCCGGATGAATGGATTGGTGGATAGATTTTTTGGATAGAAATTCTTTCTTGTTTGTTTCATATTGAAAATTCTGTTTTTGTTTGTTTGTTTTTATCAATTTCGTTTAATGTAGTGGAATGAAAAAAAATAATTTGCGATTGGGCCGACCATTGTGATGAAATTTACTTAATTTTTCTAATTTTTGTTTGTTTGTTGTTGTTGTGAATATTTTCATTTATTCGATTAATGATGGTCGAATTAAATGAACCAAAAAACAGAAAGAGAAAGAAAGATGGATAAATGTTTTTTGTTTCAGTAGGAAAAATTATTGTTCATTTTCCAATTGATTAAAGTTTCGTTTTGAATTTGTTTTTTTTTATTTCTCGGAGTAAAAAAAAGCCAGTCAAAAAACCAATAAGGTTCTTGAAAAGTGAAAAATCACCAAACCAAAATCCATTGCCAACAAAAAAGATCAAAGATCAAAATTCGTCACATACCTGTTCGAAAAGAGATAAAAAAAGAGAAAACAGAATTTCATTAGTAAAAAAATTGATTGAAAAAATTGAAAAAATTGAAAATTTTCAAAATGTTACTAATTTCGTTTCAGTTTCCTATGGTGGTGAAAATTAAATAATTTTTCATTAATCATATTTTGTTTTGGGTGAAACAAAAAATGTGTTACGATTCTGAAAACACACACACAAGGAAAATGCAAGAATATTCTTCTTACGTGTGTGTGTGTGTTACTATATTCAATTTATAGATACCCCCCCCAAAAAAAAAGAAATCAGTTCTTTCCTTTTGATTTTCTAATTCAATTCGGGTACGGAAATAGAAAGAAAAAAATGTCAATGTGAATGAAGAATGTTGAAGGATGAAGGATGTGGGGAAAACAAGAATAAGAATGAAGAAGAAAAAAACTATACAACAAAAGCATCCACAGAAATGAATGAATGAATGAATAATGAAAATTTTTGAGAAAAAAAGAAATCAAAATGAAAAATTTGTTTAAAATATGATTGAAAAATAATAAAATTTTCCTTGAAAAAATAGTGAATTGAATTGAAACAGAATATACAGAATTGATGAAAAATTATTCAAAAAAAAAAAACATTTTTTTTTTGATCAAAAAACGAAAATTTCATTTTCATTTATGAATTCATTTAGTCAGTCAGTCAGTCAGTGTATTCTGTGTAACCCCCCTTAAAAAAAATGATGTATTGTAAAGTTTTTTTTTTCACTTTCTCCATCACTCTCTCACCCAAGATAATTGAAATTTTTCATTTTCATTTTTTTTAGTTGGCGCTCTGGAACCATTTGGTACATGTTTTAGCCAAATAGAGAGAGAAGGAGTGTTAGAAGCAGGAAGAGATGAAAAAAATTGATTCAAAATTGAATTCAAAAACAGAGGAAAAAAATTCTTTTTTACATTTACATTCAATGTATTTGCCAATTTATTGCCTTTAATTTTGAATTAAAATTTCAAATTTTTTTTTCAAATTTTTAATAATTTTTTTTCTTCTTTTGAGATTTAAATCTTTGCCAAGTAGAAAAAAAAATGTTGATAGAGATAACCAGAATATGGAGGAAAGAAATCTATGTATTTTTTTCAGAATGTGATGCAGAATGGAAAAAATAATCGATTGTATCGATTGTATTGAAAATTGTGTTACACCACTGATAAATTGAGGCCATGTTCAATCAGTCAACAGCAATAATAATTTGTTTATTTTTTTGTTTTTGAATTTTTTTTAAAGCAAAAAACAAAAACAAACTTGATTCAAAGATGAAAATTCAAAACTACAAATACAAAACTTTCAAAACAATTATCATTTTGACAGTTTTGTTGTTGTTGTTCAACTTTTCCAACTTGTCATTCATTGAGGTCTTTCTTTTCCTGAATTGAATTTCTCTCTCTTCCTTGCCGGATACAATTCTCATGCTGTCCACATTTCATTCAACAAAAAAAGCTCGAATTTCACAACAAAAAAAAGTTTTTCAATTCGAAAAAACTTGAAAAAAATTCTGATAGAATCGCGTGCATGTCAACTGTTCAAAAACGAAAAAAATGTTTAGAATTTTAAATTCAGATCGCAAAAAGAAAAAGATCAAATAAATTCAATGGTCAGAAAAGAAAAATGAATAAATGAATTGAATTGAATGTTTTGAGGGAATGTTTTTTCAAATTCAATTCAATACATTTTGAATAGAAAAATTCAACACAAAGAAAAACTGTCAGTTGTTTGGTTGGTAATCATGTAATGTTATCTTTACCAACAACAACAACATTTTTTTTTTCGTACATTGACAAAATGTAAAAAAGAAAAATCTATAGCGCGATGACAATTTTCAAAACAAACAAAACAAAAAAAGATTGAATTCCTTACTGAATTTGCAGGCATCACTTTTGCGATGTTTTGTTTTTTTTTTTGTTTTCAAAAAACAAAAAATTCTGGATTTTGAAATGTCAATGGGACAAAAAACAAGTGGACAGAATTAAGTAAATTGAGTGAGAATCATCAAAAAAAAAAAAAGAATATTATAGAAATCCACACACAAAAAACTAATGGAAGAAGAAAGAAAAACCTTAATTCAATTCAAAATTCTTTGTTTTGTTTTTTGTTTTTTTTTTTGTGTGTTTGTGTGGACATTCATGTCACACAGAAAGAAAAGAATCAATGAACCAATATATAACCAATAATGATTGTAGAATAACCAAAGATAACCAAGTCTGTCTGTCTATCTGTCGCTCTACATGATGATGATAATCGCTTCAAAGAATAATTTTCTTTTTTCTGGGCTTATTTTTTCAATCATATCTTTATTTTTCTGCTTATTCTGCCGTTATAAAATGGTCATTCACTCAATATGCTGTATGCTACGATGATGATGATGATGATCAAACAGAAAAAATTGATGGCCGACACGTGACTCCTTATGATGTAATTTCTGTTTTTCATTCTCTCTCTCTGTGTTCTATCTTTATGCAATTCTTGAAATATCTGGATAGAAGAAGAAAAAAATGCAGATCGTGCCAGGCAAAATCATAAAAACAAAAACAAAAAATTCTAATCGAAACATCTTGAACATCTCTCTCTTTCTCTAGTCGTTAACTATCAATCTCTAATTTTCATCTTTTTCCCCAAGTAATAATTCAATTCAATCAAATCAAATCAAAGTTCGTCGTTTTCTCAGTGGAAAAAAAAGGCAGAAAATTCAATGCATTTCATTTCCCCCACAGTCCACAGAAAAAAACAATAAAAAAACAAATTTTTTATGATGATAACGAATTGAATATTGGTGCTATGTTGAAATCATATTCTGAAAATGAAAATGAGAAAAAATTCCTTAGCCAACATCCTGATGTTTTCTTGAGCAAGCAAGCAACTTGACTTGTCAGATTGATTGACGTTGAATCAAGAGAGACTCGTTTTTTTTCATTGAGAAAGAAGAAAGAAGAAAATATTTTCATCTTTCAATGTTGATGATGTCAAAGTTTTGCCGAACTACTTTTCATCAGTTCGTTGTGTTTCTTTTTTTTTATTATCTAAGTACAGATGAAAAATATTTTTTTTGATGGTTTTATCGTCAAAATAATAAAGATATGAAAATGAATGAATGCAGAAAATCTTTGAATTCCAGAAAAAAAAGACAATAAAATCATTGCCAATGGCGGCTTAACAAATGAAAAAAAAAGAAGAAATCCTTGCATCCTTGAAATGATGTTTTTGAAATGAGGTTCAACAAAGAAAACACATGGAAACACATTTACACTTGAAGATTTTCCTTGAAAATTTGCTCAATTTCTTTGTTGTTTTTGGTTGTTCGAATTCGTATTAGTGGTGTTGAAAGAATTCAAATTTAATTTGAATATTCAAAAAAAAAAACAATAAACTTTAACGAATATAAAATCAAATTGATTGTAGAAAATATTGAACAATACCATAATACCATGGGTTCCATGTGCTGTACACCGAAAGATATAACATTTGCTATACCGGATGAACAACATGGTATTTTTGCATCAACCGATTCACAAAATCAAATTTCATCAGCATCAATTAGTAAACAGGAAAAACAATCCAATCAAAAATCATTACATTCATTTAAATCACAAACGCAACAACAACAACAACAACCACAACAACATCCATCAATAAAAGATAATAAAATGAATTTAGTACAGGAAAAAGATCAACAACAACTTCATCAAAGGTAATCATACAATTTTCACTAGATATATCGTCATTATTGTTTCAATTTTGTTTTTTCATCTCATCAGATCAAAAGTAAAAGAATTATCAAAAAATAAACAACAACAAAACAACAATAGTCAAAAATCAACAATTATATTGGGAAAAGATGATTCATCATTGAATATTATTGATTCAATTGATTTATCAAAACGTATGTTAGAAATATTAGAAAAACGTAATCGTAAACGTATGAAACGTAGTGAACAAATATTAAAATTACAACAAATATCTGAAACAGAAAATCAAATTCAAATCATCAATAATAATAATGATGTTGTCAGTGATGATAGTAAAAAAAATTTAAATAATGATAAAAAAAGTATTGAAAAAGTTGATTTTTTCTTAAAAAAATATAATGATGATAAACAACAACAACAATCCGTACGATCAACAAAGACGATTCTGTTGAATAAATGCGAACGACAAAATGATCAACAACAACAACAACAGAATATCGACAACAACAACAACAAAAAAATCGATATTCAACAACAAACTAAAGCAAAAAGTAAAATAAAATTATGGACAAATATGAATAAAAGACCACCAAAAGAATCATCAAATTCAGCAGCCGTTACAAATTCTGCTGCTGATTCTTTTTCACGAATCATTAGATCGAAAAAAATTGCAACAAAATCAAAGGATTCTATGTTGATAATAGGAAAACAACAACAACAACAACAAAAAGCAATGACAAGTATACTATCATCATCATCATATTCAACAGTATCAAAAAGTAGTAATGATAGTAATGATGTTGTTGAAAATAGTAATAGTTTTGCTATTGTTAAGGGAAAAAAATCTAGATCAAAATTTCGTTCAAAATCTAGATCAAAATCAAAATCTAGATCAAAATCAAAATCATCTAAATCAAAAACAAATAAAAATAAAAATAAAGTTTTTAATAATAACAATGAAAATGATGGCCAAATTATTAGACCAAAAGATGATGTTGTTGATGATAATGATGATGTTCCATCATCATTGAGTAAAATGTTTGTCGTTCCAAGAATTCATCGATTGAAAATTAATAAACAACAACAACACTAACTAACATACTGAATAAAGGGAATTTGAAAAAAAACTCAAAATAAAAAATTTTGTAAACTTTTTGTTATAAACAAAGTGTTGTGTTCTGTCCTGCAGCAGACATAATTAAAACAATCAACAAAAAAAAAATCCAATGAATAAAATGAATTTTGGCCGAAAAAAAAATGCTAAGGTCAATAACCAGGAATGTTGTGAAATGAAAAGAAAAAATTATGTATTTAAAATATCAATGAATGAAATTGAAATGATGAAGAAAAGAAATCAAATCGTTTTCCCATAGCAAGTAGTTTTCGTGTCATCAAAAAAAAAACATCCCCATAACAAAAATTTTCTGTCCTGTGTTGATTTTTTTCAATAAGCGTGTCTCGTATGTCACACAGTTTGTTTTTTCGTTTTGTTTTTTTGGCTTTTTTGCATCTTGTTTGTCACATCAATGTTTTCATTCATTCGTTCGGTTATCGAAAAAAAGATCATTTTCACAACAACAACAACAAACCCGAAATAATTATGTAACATGTTTTTTAACATGTTACATAATTTCCCGACAAACCAATACATCATACGATGCATGGAAACAAAAAAAGTAAACACATAAAGCTTAACAAACATGCACAAAAAATATCATATATCCTATTGAAAACTGAAGGGAAAAAAAATGAAAATGTCAAAGATATTCACAGATTATGTGACAATAAATGAAAATTTTTTGAATTTGTTTCATTATGATGAAGAGAGAGTGACTTCAATAATAATCATAACACATTTTTCATTGTCAAAATTCATTTTGAAAAACTTTTTTGTATTCTCCCTTTCTTCTTATTATCTTTTATAATGAACAAGATAAAACAAACATTGACTTGAACGGTGAAGAATTTAGTTTCGATAACAAAAAGAATAAAATAAATGAATGAATACTGAAAAAAAAACACTGAAAATAAAAAACTTTGATGTTGATGATGATTACGAAAAAAGAAGAAAAGAAAATATCGAAAGTTTTGTTGCTATTTTCCAAAAAAACAAGATTATAAATCAGGTTTTTTGTTGTTGTTTTTTGCTTTTTGGTGTATTCATCATCATTATTATGATCATTTGCAATCATGATAAAGGTCTACTACTGCAACAACAACAACAACAAATTAAGTAAAACAACAAAAAAAAACGAATGATTAATTAGATCAGAAGATGAGGAAACAAAGTAACAAAACTAAAAACCAATTCTCTTTCTTTGTTCCAGGAACAAAGATCACAGAGAAATTCAACATTGTAGAATATTTGTATAATCAATGAATTATAGTTGATTTTATCTTTGAAACAAATCGAAATCAGCCATTTTTTGTTGTTGTTATTAGTGTTTCTAAACATGTTTTTGTCACATTCATTCATTCATTCATCCGATTTACCAAAACACTCATTATTTAACACACACACACACACACACACACAAGAATCTGATCGATGAAGCTTTTTTCAATGTCAAAAACGAAAATGAAATCAAACGAAACCCAGGCCAAGCAATAACTAAAATTGTATCATATATTCATTATGGATTATTCTCACTATTTTGACATCTGTCAAACATTTTTTTTGGATGATGACAATATATGCCCGATAGAATGAATGAATGATTCATTTTTTTTTTTGAAAATTCATTTTCAACATAGAAACTGAATTGACTCATGAACATTTGAAAGATTTATATTTGTTAATTTCAAATTTTCATACTGTATAGTCTTGTTTGTTTTTTGCTGGTTATCCCCATTCTAAAACAGATGTTTGTTCATTAATTTTCAAGAAAAGAGAAAAAAAAATACAAAATCAGGCAAAATCATCATCATCAGTGTAAAAATAGCAAACGAAAAATTCATCTCAATTTCTCAATTTTTTTCTCAAATGATCCACTTGAAAAGAAAGAAAAACGGAACTGAAGACAACCAATGATGAGGAATCCCAATGGAGAATTTCATCATCATCATCATTGCGAAGAAAGTAACTTATTTTTTCTATTTTACCAAATGATTTTCAGTAGAAAAAAACTGGTTCATTTGGTGTGTGTGCTTGCAACACTTGGTGAATGAATTGAAAGAAACAAACAAAAAATCAACAGAATCAAAGAAAGAAACTTTATTCTTTTTTTTTGACTGTTGTTATTGAGATTCTTCTTTACATTGTGTGATACGTTTTTTGTTTTCGTTTTTCATTGGACAAATGTTCATTAAAAACCCAAAAAAATAATTGATTTCAATTGACCATGTGTGAGGGGGGAGGTAAGGTGGGAAAGTAGAAAAATTGAAGTCAATTGAATCAAATGATGACGTCATATTTATCATTTTGATTATTATTGTTGGTGAAAGAATTTCTTGATTGTATCGATATCATCATTTTGAAAACCGGAAAAAAAGTAAATGATGTTCGTGTGTGTGTGTGTGTGTGACAAAGCGACAATAACAAAACTATGACACGTTCCAAACTCTTTTCTTTCGGCAAATTTTTTTTCCTTTCTCCGTTAACTTTTTCGTTTGTTTCCAAATACTGAAAAAGGAAAAACTTTTATTTCTTCGTTTGTCTCCAAGAAAAGAAAAAGTTTTTCTTCATTTTGTATTAGATAAAAAAAGATTCTATTAGTTCACTTTTTTTCATTTCATTTCATTGAACAAACTACTCGGGTAAAACAAACTTGCTACAACAGAAATGAAAACAAAGTTAGAAACTAACGCTAATTAACTTGAACAACGATGCTATACAGTAATAATAATGTTACAACTTTTTTTGTTTTTCATTTTCTTACATAACATTCAATCATTTTTTTTGGGTAACCTTTATCAAATTATATCAGATCGTTGTGATCATTGATCATATGATATAAAACTATGATATCGTTTTTTTTTTTTTTTTTTTTTGATAAATGTACTTGAAAAACGAAAATGACAGGTTTATTTTCGGGTGAAAGTTACCAGTAAAAAAAAAAGAAGATTCTGAATAGAGAAGAATGATGTTTTGAAAAGAATTTTTCTATGGAATTTATCTATGGGCTAAATATTGAACCAGATTTTTCACTTTAAAGTTTTCGTTTATTTAAATGATGATGATGGTTTTTAATTACATTCCTTGGGTTTTATTTTCCAAAATGAATGATCACGGAATTTTTTACTGTCTTCTTTCTTTGAGCTTAGCAAATTTGTAAATAACCAAAATTTTGTTATTGTGTGTTTGAACATTGTCAAAGAAAAGAATTGAAAAGCTCTGTTCATCATCATCAGCAAAGTATATGGATCGAAACTAATTAAGTAACTTGATAGAGAGAGAGAAAGAGACTTGAGGAATGAAAATGAAATGATGGTGACAAAGTGATCATGTATCTACATCATCATCATTACGATGGAAAATTCTTGAAAAAAAACGATGTGAAAATTTCATCAACAACAAAGATGTTTTCATCAACTATCGGCAACTAAAAAAGGAAAAATATCTTCTTTTTTTCTCTTGGTTTTTTTTCCTTGAAAAAAAATCACCGAAATTAAGTTTTTAGGAAATTTAATTCGTTTTTTTTCATCATTTGGTGAAAACGAAATTTGAAATCGAAACTTTTCTTTACCGAAAAAGTGATGATTTCTTTTGGTATTTTGTCATTAACACCATCAATGTTTTTTCTCTGAAATCAAAAAAAATGTTACCCATAATAGTTATAATTTATCATTTTAAACACAAACACACAGAATGAAAACTTTGTTTTTTTTCCGAAAAAAAAAGTTTCCTGGAAACAAAACAAACATTAGAGGAATGAGACAGGAAATTTTTCAGGAAAATCCTAGAACTTAATTTATTTTTGTTTCTTTTTCCTGTGTGAAAATGTTGAATCAAAACAAAAAAGTTACACATTTTCCAATAACCTGGATTAGTGGAAAAAAATTTGAAATCGAATGATGAAAACGCCAAAACGAAAAGACAAAAACATCCCGGTATGATGAATTTTTGTTTCGGATGAAAAATTTAGCCATTTCAGATCGGACAATTTGTTTTTCCAACGAAAGAAAAAGAAAAGCAAAACGAAGAAAATATCTTCATTTGGTGATGAAAATTGTCGTTAGAAGATCGGATGAAAAAGAGAAAGATATTAAATTGGATAAAGAAACGCGGACAGTCAATGAAGAAATGAAAGCACCAAGCAAGCACCAAAATAAATAACAAAATACAATCCTGCTGTGTAATGATGTTCAGGTAAGAAAAAAAAACTGTCAATACATTCAAATACGTAATATTTACAAGTATTTTTCCAAAAAAAAAAGGAAAAAAAAAGAAATATATTTCCAAAAGGGATTATATACCTTCACAAACCTGGAATGCGACTTATCAATTGATGATTCTCGCACAAACACATATTAGACACACACACACACATTTTTTTGGACGATCAAAATAAATTAGAATTTATCCAACAACAACAGAATGTTTGAAGAAAGAAAAAACGAAAAAAAACTTCAATGTAACAAATCTCTCTCTGTATATTGACAAAACCCAAAGATAATTAAAAATTGTTTCTGGGCAAGTTTCTTCAGAAAAGAAGAAGCTTTGCGAAAAAAATGGTCATTTTTTAAATCGAAATGTTGAACAGCAGCAGCAAAATGAAATATACTGTTTTGTTCAAATATTGAATTAAATTTTCAGAAGAAAAAAAAAACAAATTTAAATCCTCCAGGTTCTGTTATTATGTGTGTGTATGGGATTTATTTATTTATTTTAAAGTGTGA